TTTTTTTTTTAACAAAAGCAATTATTAGGAGTTAGGAATTAGTATTTTGCTTTTTGGCAAAATTCGACTACTAGTTGGGATGCATTCCATCGACAGTTTTTTTGAACTGCAGTGACACCACTGAGCCACAACAGGGGAACGCATTTTAACACTTTTTATAATTGAGACATATGTGATATATAATTAATGTGATTGGTTATAATCATAAAATTAATATCAATCATTAATCACCAACCATATTAAATTAATATTTTACATAACTCATGGAGAGCATTTAAAAGAGAGTATTATATAACACTTAAAGAGAGTATTCCTAACACTCCTCATGATGATTAGAATGTAATAAACATATATGTAAGGACTTCTGAATTTATGAACTTAATAATTTATGATCTTAATAATTCAGTTTTTTGAATTCAAGATGAGAATGCATTATATATTACTTTTGGTTTATTTTGTTTCTGATACTTGCCTAATATGATTACAAAAAAATTATTATTTAAATATTTTATTTTGGTTGTATAATGATAGGAAATCTTTTTTCATTAGTTACCTTATCTCATATGCATAACATGTAATTCGAATTTTAAAACTCTTACTTTCAACAAAAGAAAATTATCATTGAGTTATTTAAGTCATTAATAATTAAAAAATTATAAAAATTCATAAAAATACCTTTGTTATTAATTAAAATTTCATATTTGTCTTTTTATTAAGGTATATGTTAGAAAAATTTTATTATATTATGGTTTGGACGTGCACGGGGGTCAAGATTTTCTTGAAGAAATTTTTTAGGAAAAATGATGGAAGATTCCTAGCTCGCCCCTTTTTTTTTCTTGTGCTAATGGGAAGAGGTTTGACACACTCCACTTTCCTTGGAAACCTCTCATGGATCATGCTGTCGTGTGGAAGTTGCTCTCCCATCCACAAGGAGGATATAAAATTTGCATTCAAATAAAGTAGGGGAAAAAGCATCATAACTTTAATTCTTTTCAACTTTCTTCGAGGGCCTAAGACCATTAAAGGAGTGGCACCCAATCCATGAGTCTAACTGATTAGAGGGAGTACGTTGTAGATTCGTGCCTTGAGTTTAAATTCTCTTTTTAAAATTGTTGATTATCATTATTATTATTTTAAAAAATATTATGTAATTTACATTATTTTAGATTATATAATTTTAATTATTAAATATAAACTTTTTAATATTAAAAACTCCTCATTTAGTCATTTTTATTTTAGAATTTGTCGATGATAGAATGGGCAACTCTAATTTTTTTGTTCTTTTAGTTGCTGATTATAGAAGGGAAAATTCGTATCCCATTATATAAAGATGAAAAGTTTTGATTGTAACGAATGGTGAATGGAATTTTCATTTTATGTTCATTTTAGTTGATCAGGATCAATTTCATTTCTATAAATGCTTTTTTTTTTTTTAATTTTAAATTGCATAAAAAAAGTATCTCTTTCATTTTTTTCACTTATCTCGCATATATATTATATAACTCAAATTCAAAAACATTTTTTTTTAAAGCAACTTGATCCAACAATGGATATTGCACACATTTTGCTTTTCCCTTATATCATCATAATATACAAATTTACTGATTATGAGGCTTCGTACGTGGTCAATACTGATATGATTGATCCAAGCAATCAGTAAAGATTTACCCTAAGGATTAGAAACTAATTGAAGTTTTTACCAAGTGAGCACACTCCAGTGTTTTGATTTCATAACCTTTTTTATTTTTCTTTAATTTGAATTATATAATAAAAGTCAATTTTCTTTAATCCCTTAACTTATTTTATCTTCATGTTATTCAACTCTAAACTCAAAATTTCTTACCTCTAATAAAAAAAAATTATCATTAATTTACTTCAATCATTGACAATTCATAACCTTAACTATATATAGACTTGTAACAATCTTTAATTTCCAAATTCAACACTTAATCTCCAATAATCATCATAAACAATCTTCAACTCCTAGTCGATCTGCTACTGACAACTCTAACAGCTTTAAACTTCCATTACAAGAAGGCACTAAAAGCTTCCATTCTCTAAATTTATGTTAATTTAACAAGATCATTCAATAATGACCCTTCTCTACCCTCCGTGGATGATTAATTAATTTGGAGTACCTAGAGATGTATCGATTACTAGTAAAACAAAATAGCATATATGATAGCATATACTAGGTATGAAGTCAACTGACAAAAAGAAATGAAAAGAATCTTCGGAGAATAGACGTTCACACTTATGGATAAGATGTTGATTGCACAACTAATCAGATATGCCAAATAAAAAACTGCGCACATAATTAAGCAAGTAATCACATACCAGTAAACAACCTCCCCAGTTGTCCTTCCTTTGTCCTAGAGAGACTACTTTGACATAATGTTCTGGTTCAACAACTCTTAATTTTCCAAGGACAACAAAACAAGAGCTTTTAATTATATGTATATATAAGAAAAATTAAAAATGACTATAGGGTTCAGGGGGTTGGTATAGTGGTTTTAATTAACTATTAGTAGTTTTATTTAATTTGATAAATAAGAGCATTTAAGTTATTAATAATAATTATTATTAATTATTAATTTTAAACTATTATACCAAACACAACCCATAATTAGGAGAATTAAACAATCTAAATATACAGAACTGGCTTGGGACCAAGGGAGTGTGCAATAAAAGGAAAAAACCTCTCAAATAAGCTCCTTTTTGGCCATTGACATACCTTATAGTTATCTTTTTTCCTGTTTCCTTTTTTGTTTAGTTTCAGAGTAATAATTATTATTGTGATTAATTTATATTTGTTTTTTCAATTCTACTCAATTATTACTTAGAAAAGTATGAAACAAAGGATTTGTTGAAAAGGTGGATTATTTTTATTTTTTTTTTTATGGATGAGAAATTTTTTTAAGAAAAGAGAATTAAAAGTTTTGATACCTGGGCAGGCCCAAGAGACTTCAGAACCCAACATAGGTCCAAAACAAATACTACTTAAAAAAAAAAAAAAAAGCGTTAGAGCATTTTTTTAAGAAACGAAAAGAGAATTAAAAGTTTTGATACCTGGGCAGGCCCAAGAGACTTCAGAACCCAACATAGGTCCAAAACAAATAATACTTAAAAAAAAAAAAAAAATTAGCGTTAGAGCATTGCGGAATTCTTTCTTACCTCACAACGGAACCGATTAACTGAAAACAATGGCGGTGGCCGGAGCTGTGACAGTGACCTTTTCCGGCGGTCGTTTGCTGTCCCTCCCACGGGGATTAGCATCAATCAAGTCCTCATTTCTGTCAACTTTGTCATCCTCGAACACGGGCTTCTATCCTCTGCGGCCAATTATCAGTGCACCCGCGAGAAAGCTGGTGGTGCGGGCTGCAAGAACAGAGTCCGAAGGCGTCTCCCTTGGTTTCAGAGCTCCCAACTTCGAGGTTCTTCCTTCAGACTGAAAACATTAGTTAAATTCCTGATTTCCTGAATTTTTATGTCTTTCTGAAGTCTGAACTTTTTTTTTTTTTTGAGGGCAGTTGCCGGAGCCTCTAACTGGGAAATTGTGGAAGTTAGATGATTTTGAATCACACCCTGCTTTATTGGTAATTTCCCATTTCTTTTCTCAGAAGATTTCGTTTTATTTTTGGATTGTTTTTATGGGGTATTACTGTTGCCATCACATTTTGCTCATTTTGTTGTTTTAGCCCTTCTCAAATAGAACATTTGTGTGCTTTTTCAAGCCTTGTTTGTGGATAGCTTTTTGTTACTGATCCATTGGAGGTAATTGCTATTATAATCAATATCAAGTTAAAAAGATGAATAAATATAGATACGGTTAAGTGTGTGTCTGTTATAAAATAAATTTTGAAGTGTCTCCGCGATGGAATACAGCATGAAGTTACATGTTTTCATTTATGCCTCAAAGGGTCGAATCTGTACTGAGTCGTGACTAATAGCCAGATGATGACCTTCATCGTTTGTAGAACTAGTGGCAATCTATTTGGTTTGTCTAATGGAATATGGTGACAGATTATAGTACTTTTGAACAGAAATGGGAAAATAAAGAAATTTGTAGCTGTTGTTATGTGGTATGCAGTATGCTTATGGCTTTGGTTGGCAGGAAACTTTGAATAAGATTCTTTTCTTTCCCTTCGCCAAGATTTATAGTACTGTTTTCTCCATCTCAACATGTATTTAAATGTTGGAATGTTAACAATGTGGTTTTACAGGTGATGTTTATTTGCAATCACTGCCCGTTTGTTAAGCACTTAAAGAAGGATATAGTGAAACTTTCAAATTTCTATATGAAGGTAGCTAAACTCCCTTAGCCTCTTGCTGGCCTCATGGTTTGCATCATTTTCAAGTTGCAAAAGGGAACTAGAAAAGTAAATGAGCATACTGGATGAAAATATGTGAAATTTTGTTATGTTCTTTTGCAGAAAGGTCTTGCAGTTGTTGCAATATCTTCAAATTCTGTAGCAACTCACCCACAGGTTCAAGTGATCTCATAATTTGAGATTAGAGCTGCTTTGACGCTGTTGTATGATTTCTCCAAATTGAACTGTTCTTCACAGGATGGACCACAATTTATGGCAGAAGAAGCTAAACTATATAAATATCCTTTTCCTTATCTGTATGATGAGGTATGCCAATTCCACTTTCCCCTCCCCCTTATTGGTCGAGCTTCTTTATCTTTTGACAACTCAAGCATGTGAATATATTAGCATACTTCTTGGTTCCTACTAAAAGAATCCAATTAATTTTGCTCAATATGTTCAATTTCAGACTCAAGATGTTGCAAGAGATTTCAGAGCAGTTTGCACACCAGAGTTTTTTCTATTTAAAAAGGTAATTGCAGCCTTCATCAACAAATTTGTTTAACATAATCTCAGTTATTGCCTGAAGGGCTCAGGCAGTCAGGCTTATGAATATCTTTTAGTTTCCAGTTTAATATCTTGTAAACAAGTAAAATGGCTTTCTTCTTCTTTTTATCTCTTGTCCTAAACCTTTTTAATGTGTGAAGAAGTCCTATTATGCAACAGGATGGTCGGAGGCCATTTGAGCTGGTATACCATGGCCAATTTGATGATTCCCGGCCAAGTAATAATGTTCCTGTCACTGGAAGGTTGGCTTTTAGGGTTTCAAGTTTAGTACATTTATAATAACAAAGCTTTTTATAATCATTGGTAAATATATATTTTTTTAACGATTTTAAGGGACTTAGTCTTGGCAATCGATTGTGTTCTCAGTGGCCAACCAATATCATCAATTCAAAAACCCAGGTGCCTCCTTCTTCAGATCCTTATTGCTCTTCTTTCTTATTCTCTACCACCTCTTCAGAGACTGTGTCTCCAATGATTACCTGCTGAAAACTCATAAATTTCCATTTTATGAAAGTGTTGGATGCAGCATCAAGTGGCACCCAAATGCAAATTTCTAATCTGCAACGATTTAGTTCACTGTCTCAAGATCATATAATCCTTTTTGTGATAGTTCATATCATTTGAATGTAACTTTATAGTTATCTCAAGTTTCAAATCGTCCTACTACCTTCAAGTGGTATGGGTTCCTTACTTTGGATTTCTGGAAGTGCAGTAATTAAGGGATGAATAAATGTAACTGTAAGACCCTTTTAGTTGTGCATATCAGTCAATTGTTTTAAATGCAGCACTATACTGCTATTCGTGTATGGATGAAAGGTGTTTAGAAAAGCAAGCTTGTCATTATTCCCCATGCTTATGGTCATTAGCACTTCAACAACACATGACCAGTAAATTACTTGGCTTCTCTTGTCCGTTAGAATTGGTGATGTATGCTACTGAAATGTGTTGAAATATAACATTGGTGATGATGACCTTGAAAGTAACTAATGAGAATTCTGTGTACAAGCAAGGCCAAGTATAGAGTCTAGGTTCAAGGATCAGCTGGTATACTTTTCTCATTGAAATTTTGAATAATGTATATATTAATGCCCTTGTATGTCCCTAAGATAAAGTAAATTTTGTCTTTTTATTTTTCTGTAGCATGGATTAACATGCCTTTTATGTTATTACTTTTTAAGTTTTGGACTTTTGAGACTATCTACGTATAAGTTATCTCATTCTTCTTGTTGTTCAAGTCCAAAGTTTGCAATAATAGTTTCTTGAAATATGTGAATATTGTCATCCGTTGCTTGCATTCTTAGCCATTAGAGATTTGATGTGGGCCTAAAATAGGTTTGAGGCCACAAGTAGAAGCAGTACGTCTTTTTCAAGAACATGGGGAACAAGGTCTTTCTTTCCTTGCAGAAATAGATGTTGCAATGTTTCTGGCCATGGTTGGTCCTTTTACATCCTCTATAATTTCACTTTTTTCTAGCATTCCATAATTTTATGTTCTATTTGAAAGCCAATTGAATTGAAAGCTACTTCTTTCCCACTCAGTCCCCAACTTGAAAGTATTTGCTTGCATATCCATGTTGTTTGGTTTTCTGGTACTCTAGCACTTTCAATTATTGGAATAGTTTCTTTAATCTATACCTTTGATCAAAGCTGCTTTCGAGGTTGCTTAGGTGCCATAGACATATTTAGTCTATGAATTATGAGTGTTTCAATAATGTTAACTTTGGAAGATTTTGAGCTGGAATAACATGCATTATTTAGCAGTTTGGCATTATTCGACCAGCTTGCTGGCATTTTCTTTTTTCTTTTTATTTCTGTGAGAATACGCATGTATTAGCAGCTCAAATGGTTTTTACTTGAGGGAAAATGATAAAAAGATTTTGTCTTGCCTATCTCCTTTTTCTCAAAAGATATTTTGCCATCTTCTCTGGTGGATGCATTAGGTCTTCATTTTCTTTCATTCTTATCCTAGACGTGAAATTTAACTACGGCAGGAATGCAAATTGTTTCTGCATCACAAATTCACCGATCTTTTTACTTTTGCTTTAAAGTGAAATATGAGAATCCTCGAGACTATAGTATCCATGTTAATGAAAAAGATGGTGGATCACGAGAAAAGAGAAAGGATATGAAATGACATGAAACCCCTGTTTGTTCAACGGAGTATCAAATCTACAGAGATGATTTCTTATTCGAAAACATAGACTTCAATGGATGCAGAAGATTTTGGGAAACTGGCACCTCGGAAGGTGAACTAAAGTAATGGGTCTGATGATCTAGAGAAGCTAGAACAATGAACTTCAGCTTTTGAGTTGTTCACCACTCTTTTCCCAAGAGAGATTGGCTTTTCGCAATCTTCATGTTCTTGCCTGATCTCCATAAGCATTGCTGTCACATCTCTCATTGTGGGTCTTTCCTCTGGGCAAGGATTAACACAGAGGAGAGCCACCCCTAGCACTTGAAGCGTCTCTTGGATCTGTGTGCCTGGCTGCAGGAGCAGTTGCTGGTCAAGAATTGCAGTAAACTCTTTTCGTCTTTCACGAAGCTCTTTGTTAATCCAAGTGACAATGTGACCTCCTGGAATCTGGCTGTCAGATGGTTCCTTTCCGGTCAGCACCTCTGAGGAGCACTACCCCATAGCTGTAGACATCACTCTTCTCTGTGATCCTCATACTGTATCCATACTCTGCCAATTGTCACAATGTCAAGTTAGATAAGGTCTGGAAATTATTTGGGGTACACTGGGAAGATTATGGGGATCAAAATCTTGTACTCACCTGGAGCAATGTAGCCATAAGAACCTGCAACAACGTTGGAAGCACTTGGACTTCCTGAGGCATCAACAAGCTTTGCAAGGCCAAAATCAGCTAGAAAAGCTTCAAACTGTGGCCCTACCAATATGTTGTTGGCCTTGATGTCACGATGAAGGATTGGGGGAATACAATCATGATGGAGGTAAGCCAGTCCTTGAGCTGCTCCTACTATGATATTATATCTTGCATCCCAGTCCAAGAAGATCTTCTTTTCATGAAGCAATCCACCCAAACTCCCGTTACTGATGTAATCCAACAAGAGCAATCTGGTTTTCCCATTATCGCAACAACCTAGTAACCTCACTATATTCTTATGCCTTATTGATCCAAGAGTCTGAACTTCTGCGGAAAACAGGTCTCTATCTGGGAACTCTCCTTTCTTTAATGGCCATAGCTTCTTCACTGCAATAACCTGCTTTGTTGGAGTCTCAACACAATAAACCATGCCTGAACAACCCTTTCCTATGATGTTGGAATCGGACAGACTCTGGACTATATCATTTATAGAGAAGTTAAGCTTTTGAAATGGAGTGAAATGCCACTCCAAAAATTTTTCTTCATCGTTCTTGTCAAATGTACCTCCATGGATTCTGATAAACAAAGCTACGGCGGCTATTACTATTGTCACGGTTATAACCACACTGAGAAAAGTGCGCAAGACAAGGTTTTGAGTTGATTTCTTGCCATGAAGATTTATATTTAAATAGCACTCATCTCTGTTAATGCAGAGATTTTGATTGCCGGCAAATACAGTGGCAGGGAGATCATGCATAAACTTAGTATCTGGAAGGGTACCTGAAAAGTTATTGTAGGAGACATCTAGAGAAACAAGATTGTCAAGTCCAGCCAGAACTGTCAGGTTTCCTGCTAGCATGTTGTGAGACAGATCTAAGTTGGCCAACTTTGAGAGATTTGAAAAGCTTTCTGGAATTGGCCCTGTTAAGGAATTCCAACTCAAGTTCAAGAGGATGTCCAGTCCTTGCAAACCACCAATCTCTTCTGGTATGGAACCAATTATCCTGTTTCTGCTGATGTCTAGCAATTGCAAATCCTTGCAGGAGCCCAGGGACTTGGGAATCAAACCAGTGATGTAATTTCCACTCATAACTAGTTTGTTCAAAGATGTAAGCTTGCCCAAATTTTGGGGAATGGTGCCTCCTAGACTGTTTGATGAAAGGTCTAAAACGTTAAGTCTGATAAGAGATTCAAAGGATGTTGGGATTGTACCTTGGAGCTCATTTCCATGCAAATCTATCATTTCTAGCTGAGTACAGTTGCCAATTTCAGGGGGAATTTCTCCAGCAAAGTGATTTTCTGACAATTCAAGGAAGATCAAATTCTGTAGTAATCCAATTCCTGATGGAATATGGCCGCTGAAGTTGTTTGATCCCAGCCTTAAACGTATCAAGCTGCTGCAATTACCAATATCTGGGGGAATTTCACCAGATAGTCTGTTTGATATCAACAACAATTGGGTCAAGTTCTTCAAATTGAAGAGAGATCCTGGAACTGACCGGGTAAGGAAATTGTGCGAAAGATCCAAGGCTTCAAGTTTCCCACACTCAGCTAGCTCAGCTGGTATGCTTCCACGGAGCTGATTTTGCCAGGCAAAAAACACAGAAAGCTTCTTTAGTTGCCCAATGGAAGGTGGAATCTCACCAGAAAACATGTTGTTATCTAATTCAAGTTGCTTTAGCCTGGAAAAGTTGCCAACATATGGCGGTATCTCTCCAGAAAGATTGTTTCCAGACAGAAGAAACTCCTCCAGTGCAACTAGATTCACAAGAGTTGCCGGAAGCTGACCACCTAGAGAATTCAAAGAAAAGTCAACGACTAACAAGCCTGAACAGTTCCCTAGAGATGATGGAATGCTTCCACTTAGCTTGTTCTTCCATATCAGCACCTTCTTGAGATTTTTTAGCATGCCCAGTTCTTCAGGAATCCCACCTGAAAGTTGGTTTTCATAAAGAAACAAGTTTTCTAAGGCAGACAATTTACCAATTTCAGGTGGGATGCTACCAGTGAGTTTGGCCGTGTAGATTGAAAGAGTCTTGAGATTCTTCAGTTCTCTTAAACTACTAGGAATTTCACCTGAAATCCCAGTCTCTGCAAGACCAAGAAAAGCTAGCTGCTTGCAGTTTGATATCTGCATTGGGATTTCACCATGAATTCCTGAGTTTCCACCTAAACGGAAAATTTCCAGAGCCCATAACTGTCCTGTTTCCCCAGGAATCTTCCCAGAAAGCTGGTTGTCGAAGAGTTCAAGTTTCCAGAGTTTTGAACAGTTTCCAATTTCTCTCGGAATTCCACCATGAAATAAGTTTGAATTCAGTGATAATTCCTGCAGTTGAGTTAACTTTCCTATCTCAGCTGGAATATCTCCTGTTAGAGCATTATAACTGAGGTCTAGGGTGATCAATGAAGACAAGTTTCCAATCGAAGGTGGTATTTCTCCGGAGAGGTTTCCATTTGAAAGGACAAGAGTGGTGAGGTGGTGAAAGGAGAAGAGCTGGGTGGGGAAGCCAGTTGAAAGACTAATGGAAGTTATTGTGATTTCTCTTACATGTCCATCACTTGAACATCTGATGTAATCCCATCTGCATGGATTTTGGTGGTCTGGATTCCAGGACGAGAACAAAGCAGAAGATGAAGAAGAATTAGAGGTTGAAAGCCAAGACAGCAAGGACAGGCCTTCCTGATTCAAGGCAGAGATGGCTGAAAACACCGAAATGTTGAGAAATAAGACCACAATAGTGATTGCATTGCCTGACATGATGAGGTTACACTTAACTGTTCTATCCCACCAATTCTACCATTCTAGCATAGCAGCTCCACAAATTCTCCTGTAAGTGTTCCTCTTATCATGGATGATGGAATCTCGAAGCCCTTGTTTCCATCCAGAATTACTGAAAACAAAGTAGAACCCTTTTATGTCTAAAACACTTCACATGGTGGATTATTTGCGCATCATGATATATCTTAATTATTTTCGGCATTTTAAGTATGATTTTGGTGTTGTGTTTGTCTGTTTCACCAAGTGGTTTTACAATTTGCAGTAATTGCCCGAACGCACCAAAACAAAGATTGCCCATCTGTTTTGAGTTAGGCTTCATGACAATCCAAAAAGGGTGACAATGACAAATCAACACCACAAGAGAGATGGACACCACAACATTTTTCTTTCTTTCTTTCTGCGATATGATTATGGTAAGGCCTTGATATCACTTTGCATGCATCTGAAGATAAAAGATTGTGAGATTGAAAGCGAGCCAAATTGCCAGTGTAAGGGAGGCCCCATATCCTTTGCATGCATGAACCTTCCCAAAAACCATATTGTGAAGCCCAATGCAGTCAGTGGTGTCCAACAACAGACATTCCTTTGGACAAAATTTTCATATTAGATTACTATTGAAGTAAATGTGATCCCCACCCCTCCCCATCCCTTTCAAGATAAATAAAAAAAAAAATTAGAGAAATATTATTATGCCATGATGATATTATTAACGTGATATATCAAATTCTCTTTAAAAATATCTTATCTAATAAGAAGATGACATCTAAGAAATTTCTGCATCATATTAACATATCACTTGAATTATAATGAGAGGTATTATCTATTACATAGTCTACATACTCAAATGCACAAAAACAAAAATCAGTTGAAAATAGAGTTTTGGAGAAAATATCATATGGAAGACAGTCTTCTCATTAATTATTTGACAATGAAAATCACATTAATTATACTCAATTATAATTTTCAAACATCAAATCTTATTGAAAATATTTGGCAACAAAGGCAGGTCCCTCCTACTCCTAGAGACAACGGACAATAGGCAAAGAATCACATAGAATTTGAGGAAAAAACAAGCAAATAGAGGGGAGAAACAAAATGACTTTTCATTGGAGTGGGCCTTGAGATATGTCCAATAATAAAGATTATGAAATCAACTTGGATTCGTCGGGGATACCCAAATGGCCCATTTGTTGGAATTGGGAATAAGTTTGGGGAAATGGTGTGACTTGTGAGCAAATGATGCCCCAACCATAACATGTGGGCTGATTTGATATTTTACGACGGATGACCTCTTGGATTGTAGTTTGACATTGACCCATATAATAAATACGGCATAACAAGACAATTTTTGTCGGTAAATAATATACTACGTATATAACTAAGGGCCCTAAGATTAGAGAAAAAAAACTAAGAGCCTGTTTTGCATTGGTGTGATTTTTTGTTTTAATTGTGAAAATACTAGAAATATTAAATTTAAATAAAAGAAATTTGGTAATTCAATTTTTTTAATACAATAGGATAAACGATTTAACACATTAAAAAAGAGATAAAAAAGGGGTTTACATAGATTTAAACTCCCGTTCAATGGGTGATCAATGGGTGAGGAAACTTTTTACAATTTATATTAATTTGGTTATTAATTTCAACAAGTTGTCAATTTTTTTTATCAACAAATAGTCAATTTTCATCTAGATGAATTATATTAGAATGCGACTTAATCATAAAATTTTATATTTTAATTTGATTATAATATTTAAGTAAGCAGTAGATTATTTAATTTTATATTTTTTTTATTTCAGGTTCAATTGATCCTGATTCATTGAGCTTAATTCTCCATTTACATTTTAATATTATTTTTTAAAAATTTA